ACTCTGAGACACATGCCTTATTCAACTGCATCAAAGGAGTCGAAAGTCAATGCCTTCCCCCCTTTTCCCTTTCGTTGCCCCACTAATCACTTCCCTTTTCCCTTCCCTAATTTCCCTAATATTTGCTTTTGTATTCTCTTTGTATGTTATATTATAAACTAATAAAACTAATTTAATGAACTAAAACTGTCAGTAGAGCAAGCAGCTTTGCATCATAAAATATCACGGGCAAGTCCACTATATGATGCATTCGTGGAAGAAAATTAAACAGATTCCTTAAATAAGTACTGGAAGACCTTGAAGACTGTGTTAGGGATATGTTGTCATGTAGAAAACCTAATCTACTGTGTGGTCTCAAAGATCAGGTCCACATGTGAAAATCCAATTACGTCCTATGCACAAGAATCTTCTCACATAACAGTTAAACATTTGCTTGTTAAAGGTCAATGGAATTCAAAGGGGGTTGGAATTAATTCTCTTACGGCTATGTAGGGATTCAAGGCTGATCCAGGAAAGGGCTGCTGGGGGTTCACGGGTTCAGTAGAGCCCCTAGCTAAGATTTTGTGCAGTTCGGAGAACCCCCAAATCCCATTCCTGGCTGGCCCCACCCACCCCACCCCACCCCCTCCCAGGAATCCCCACGCGGCCTGTTTTGGATGCAGGTAAGTGCAGGGCCCACGCAGAGGCTCAGGGAGGGCGAAAAACGGGCCTCCCGGAAGTTCAGGAATGCCGGAAATAGGCCTGTTTCCGGCTTCCAGAGAGCCTCCGGAGCCCGGGGAGGCCATTTTCGCCCTCCCAGAGGATCGAGGAAAGCCTCCGGAGCCCGGGGAGGGCAAAAACACACACCCCGCCATGGTGTAGGAGGCAGACTAGGCCATGCCCACCATGGCCACGCCCACTCAAAAACCGGGCAGGAAAAACCCTTTGCTAAAATTTTTGAAGCCCATCCCCGGGCTGATCCCTCTTTTAATCCCACCCACCCACCCCTCCGGCCAGATTCTGCCACTCTTTCTCTTAGATCTATGTGGTCACCAGGAGTCACAATGAATTAACTGGGCTGCCCCAGCTTACCTTCAAGTAGAGTTCATTATGTGTACAGCCACACTTTTCCAGAAGTACACATGTATTCCCATCAAACAAGTAGCCATCATTACATCGGCAACCTTCAAAACAATTCCTAGTGCATTGCACTGTAGAGAAACTGGCACAGCTGGAATCACAAGCTCTAACGCATGTCTCATAGTGGCTATTATCTGGACAGAAAAGAGCTGAAGAGGTAAAAGGAGAAAAGGTTTGCCAAATGTTTTCCTTATGCCACCGAATAAAATATAAGCAGGACAAAGCTTTAGCAACACAGAAGCAGGTTTTCCTCTATCACAATAGATTACCCAGGTTCACTGTGCGCCATGGAGTTTTTCTCACATAATAATTGCAAATGCAAAGTCAACAAGAAATTGATATCAATGCTGGAAAAAATGAACAAACACCACAAGATGAAGAAATAATTAAGAAGATGGACAGACTGACATTAAAAATGAAGCAGAAAGAAGATACAGAATTTGATCAAACATAGAATCTATTTTACCAATGGCTGGAAAAAAAGGGGTGGAGATCTTGATTGAATGCGATGTGTATTGTTAAGCAAATTAAATACCCAGATAACACAATGTCTATTAAGCACTAAGAAATGTAATTAATAGAAAATCAATAAAAGAAAAGAAACCGATATCAGAATAAATCTGAAATGGGCTTATCAAAATATAACATTTGGAAAGGGATTTGGAAATATAGTCTACATTTAATGCTAATTTTCTCAACCGGTCTGTAATCCAACTGGGTAAAAAAATAGCATTGGATTCAGCTTTATCTAGGGCAGGGGTGTCCAACTTTGGCAACTTTAAGACTTGTGGACTTCAACTCCCAGAATTCCTCAGCCAGCTTTGCTGGCTGAGGAATTCTGGGAGTTGAAATCCACAAGTCTTAAAGTTGCCAAGGTTGGACACCCCTGATCTAGGGCTCCAGAAAAGGAAAAGCAGAATCCCTTACCAGAAAAACTGGCAAGAAAGATAATTCTAACATCTGGGGATTATCAACCAAGCAGATTAGATATGATGAATTGATCTCCATTGTACTGGCAGTTTCTTAAAGTATCCCAGAAGAGGCATTCTGTCAAGTTTGTTTCTCTTGTCACCATAGCCTTGGAGCCAGGTTAATTTAAACCTGGCTCAAATTACAGCAGTTTCCCAACCTTTCCAGATTTGTGGAGCAGCCGGAGGAGGGGACTGAAATTGGGGACAGCTGAATTACACTATTTCCCTTGATAAGGGAAGCCAATGACGTTATAAACTTACGACAAGAGACAGCTGTTCTCCAGTCACCAATTTCAGCTCCAGCTGCTTGACATTTAGCTGTGTAAGCTTGAAGGTTTTGACAGAGAGATCCCTCGCCGACAACCTGCATGTCGTACAGGCAGTTGTCAAAGAAGTCTGCAGGGCTCACAAAGGAATGACAGTCTTTAAATGGGCCTGCCTCAAGTGTAAGGAGTCCACAGTGTCTGTCATCTTTATATTGTGATGCTTGGGCCTCGTCATAAGCAGGGAGCTGGTGCACACAGTTCTTAGAGCAAATGCTCCCAGTTGTGGGCACTTCCCATGAGATTCCAAAGTCATCTACATTTGGGGTGAAAGTTCCATCAGGCAGCATGAAATCATCCTCCAAGTTATTGTTGAAATTGCCACCAAGCCCAGTTGTCTGCTCTTGGTAAGGCCTAGGCACAAAAACTTCGACATAGTTGGCAGTGTCATAAATGACTTTGAAACCTTCAGAGCACTGAACAATAATATTATTCCCTTCTTGATTGATCCGAAGTTCTCCATTATCTTTGCTAAATGGTAGGTTGTAAAACTCATCTTCTACCTTGACAGGGAAACAAGAATAAAGAATGAATAATTTGCTATAATTTTGTGTGGCATATTAACATGGATTCCTCTGGAAATTAATAGAATAGAAGGTGCCACATATTGCTACGTAGGAATGGAACTCAGTTCAAAGAAGGCAGAACTTTCACAAAATACAGCTTTTAGCAATAGTGTAATGCAGCGTTTCTCAACCTTGGC